GCACTCTACTACGAAAAAATAATTAACAATAAGTAAATTTAAAACATTTACTGCAGGTTATATTTACTACTAGTTACATCTACTGAGGGCGCTTATCTCGCAGTGGTTGGAGCGGCACTGCGACACACAAGTGGAATTAATCTCCGCGCCCGTGGCTCACCAAGGCTTCCATACCTTCGGGGTCGGCGAATTGGTACCAGGCTTGTATAGAAGGATAGCAGCACTGACTTATTGAGGTCAAATGGATGGCGCATCCGTCAGGAACTGATCAACGACGAGAGCTTTGTCCTTTACCCTTTACATCTATTGGTTTGTGTTTGCGAATCTCCACCCAGAAAGTTTTAGGCACAGTATTCCTTTAACGCCACTGGGAAGGACAGCACTAGCAATTTAGCAGTTCGGCAGATCTTATAGCTGATTACACCTGCGAGATATAATTCCAACCAACTCCACTATTATTTCATTATCATTTGCTGGTAAAAATCGTTATCGTATTTTCTATTATTGCTATCTTCATTATTATTATTTTTATATTGCTATGAATGTTTTCACGGTGAGATGTACTATTCAGTCAAATGAATCCTGACGAACAGGCTTTCCCGAATGTACTGGACCCAATAGAATTGCAGTTTTGATTGTCATTTAGAGTGCCCACGATTACTGAGATCATTACTGCACTCATTTTCTACTCGTCTTCTATGCTAGTTCCTCACAGAACTACAGAACTGTTTTGACACAACGGCACAGGACACTACGATGTTATTACGAAACCGACTTTCCTTGAACCTGGGTATCACTAATCAATATGTATTCTTTCTTTGATGAACTTACACGAGGTTGATAATGATATTTATTTATTTTCGGCTAACGTTTCGACGTCTTCGTCTTCCTCAGAGCCGATGATCCGAGTCGATGGCCATGCTTGTTGTTCGTCTCGACGTTGCAGCTTCGTCTTCGTGTCGAGTCAGGTCTTCCTCAGTGAGCCATCTTGAATCTTTTTCTTTTCAGATTCGAGAAGATGGTTCACTGAGGAAGACCTGACTCGACACGAAGGCGAAGCTGCAACGTCGAGACGAACAACAAGCTTGGGCCATCGACTCGGATCATCGGCTCTGAGGAAGACGAAGACGTCGAAACGTTAGCCGAAAATAAATAAATATCATTATCAACCTCGTGTAAGCTCATCAGAGAAAGAATACATACTACGATGTTAGTTATTAAGGCGTTATTTACCAGAATGCTTCACATACCACTTATCAGTACTATATCTGCTTCGAGATACCACGGTGTTATATAAGACATTTTAGCGGGAGGAAGCGACTCAAGCAGTGAGGCCTTATGAAATGACTCGCTTCGGCATCTGCCTATTCTTCAGCGCTGTTCTAGCGTGTAAATACAATGGCAAAACATACAAAGATGGCGAAGAGTGGGTGAGTGATTCAGAAAATCAGAAGGAATTTTTTCATATAACTCCGCTGTTTTGTAACACACATCATCCACGAAAGGTTTCGAACTTTTCGTTTTTTCGCTTGTTTGCTGCTTCGGGATCGTGGCCTACTTCATCAGTGTTGCAGAATGCTAATGAAATCTAGGGTCTTGATATGGCTGGGCTAAAGGATTCTCCGTTGAATTACCGCTAATGAACTTTTTCACAGAAATATCTAGTTTCAACTTTCTGAATTCGAAGGGATCAGTGGTTTGGTGGCAGCGGTGAAGCGACGAACCAACATTGTACTCGTGACGAACCGCAGCACTAACACTGCATTACTCGTTCTCTGAAGGTTTTAAATTCTTCCAGCATGAAATGATATTTTTTGAGAGACCCGCCTCCACGTCTGCTGCGTGGGTTCCAGTGCTTTTTACATCCGAATCGTTTCCTCGCATTTATCGTCCTCGAAGGTCTTCCAACATTTCTCGCGTAAGGTTGGTTGGTTACGGCTGGTTGCGACTTAAGGATTGTTCGGTTTCTTATCAGCCCTTGAATTCTGCTCGATTTGATTCTCGCTGGAGCGTTTTGATAACCAGGCCAATGCGTTTAGACATGTACTGCACCGAGAATTGTACCGAGAGCAGTCCGGCACTAATTTCCTGCGTGTGGACGGTTGAGAGCCTTGTTTACACCGCTCCAGGTCCAACTTACACCGTGCTACGGAATCACTGCAACCACGCTAGCCGTTCCTTGAGGGTTTCATTAACATTTTTCATAACAAAATGCTTTAGACCGTACAACAAAATCTCATTGCTGTAATGGGAATGATGATGGGAGAGGTATGAAAAAAACAACACGGTGAGATGTGTCCATTCACTGTATCACATCTCGAGTGTAAATGAAGCAAATGGCAGAAATTCTAATTGCGTCTATATAACCTTGTGAAACGGCTGCGGAGTCTAAAATAAAAGCGAACTGGTTTTATGGGAAATTCAGAAACTCCACTTCTAGTGTCCGTTGATAAGACAAGGTGAGATAAACTGAGGTCCGCCGTAAATCACTGTTGTTTGACTTTTTGTGAAAATCTCCTGTCGAAATGTAACTTATCGGTCTGTTCTGGCCTAGAGTGAATTCCACACCAAACCACTTTCACATGTTCTTTAGTTTTTCAATTACTCATTTCGGTTGAAATGATGTTATGGATGCAAAGATTTGCTTGAAAGTACCATTGTGCACTCATCTATACTTGTGCTTACTTCTTCATAACACTTTTATACGTTAGCTTCGCTATTTTGTTTAGCAAACAACAAGTGTTATTTTATTTCCTTATTTACGGACAAGCTGACGTCTCAGTAGATTTCGCCTTCTTCAGAACCTGGGAAGGTTCAAGTTAAATTCAATCTACCCAACTAAACACCTTCATAAACAAACGGAGAAAATGCTAAACGAAGATTTCAACCACATTGAACACAGAGTAGCTTCTTTGAACACTCACCGCTTTCTATGCCTCCCACGTCTTCCACTGAAAATGTCACGTGGAGACCAACAGCTCAAAGATCACATGGAAACGCAATGTGCTTTTTACATGAGAAAAAAAGGTTTAAATACTGCCCAATACCGCGCGTTATTATGAGGCATTCCTCCCTGAGGTGCATTTTCGGTTCCTTGTAATTAATCCAGAATGATTCGAGAGCTTTGCATGCTTATGTTCTCGATTCCTGTGCGAGGATCGTAACCCCTACTTCAAAATGTTCTCTGTTATATCTCTGAGTCCTATGTGTGCCGGATGGAGTATTTGCTTTAAGTTCACCTGCTGGGTGTTCTCTTATACGGATGCAGATTCGTCTATCCGTTTCGCCTATCTATTCGTTCCCGCACACTTTACAAGAAGTCAGATAAACTGCACCCGAATTCATGCAGTCACTTTGAGTTGCACATAGATGGCCTTATAAGCGGTTACGAACCAGTTGGCGTCTTAGAGTACACAGTGGCACCTCAATTACGGTTACCGAATTTTCTAGGACGGTCCTTTCTAAGCGGCGTTTTATAGCTGCACTTACATCATTCGAGATGAAGAGTAGGATAAACAGCACCTTTTTATTCCTAGAGTTGTCGTTTGGAGGCCTAGGATTTTCTCTACACCTATGCCGAGCTACAGTTTCGTAGCCATTAGAAATGGCTATTTTCCGCCCGAAGTTCCGGGACTCCTTTCTCTGCTCTCTTTCCGTGCACACGTTGGTTGCTGTGCGAAACATGTTTCTTGCAAGCGCTTTTTTCTTGTGAGAGGGGTGAGAAGAGAGGTAATGTACCAAGATGTTTTTACTACTTGGCTTTCGGTACAACTTCGTAATGTAACCATTTTTTGACAGGTTAATTTGAACGTTCAGGAATGGAAGCCATTTTTCTTTCGGTTTCCCTCGGGTAAACTTGATATAGTCTGACTGTTTATTCAACAACTCGAAACATTTGCCTATTTCCTCTTGCGTTGAGGAAATGACAAGGCAGTCATCTATATGTCTACAGTGGAGTAATGGTCGATGATCAGTTACTGGTATTTCCACTTTCGACCTAAATGCAATGGCAAGGCTTGGTGTCTGTCGTTGTCCCATTGTCATCCCTCTCTTGTGTGTAATATCTTTCGGACAATCTGAAGATTGAGCAGTTTAGGCACTGCTTTAAGAGTATCATCAACTGCTAACAGTGGATCGGTAGATACAATATTATCAATGAATACAGACTTATGAGTCTTGATAAGTATGTACAAGACGAGACATGTTTGCAAGTTAGCTTTAAGTCAAGAAATAATTGTTGGCTTAACTCAACTGCTCTTGCCATTTCAGCGCATTCTTAAGGTGCGCATTACGCTACCATGTAAACTCTGTGCGGTTGGTCTCCACGTAAAATATTTAGTGAAAGACCCATAGAAAGCGTTGAGTGTACAAAGAAGCTACTCTGTGTTCAACATGATTGAAATTTTGGTTTAGCATTTTCTCCGTTTTGTTATGAAGGTGGTTGGCTGGATAGATTGCGGTCAACTTGACATTTCTTGGCTCTGAGGAAGGCGAAATTCGCCGAAACGTCGGCTTGTGCATAAGTTTTGCTAAACAAGAATGTAAAAAACTGCTCGTCCAATACCGATGTTAATAAAAAGCGGGTAGTGAAAGTCGTTATCACTATTTTTAGATTGACGAAGAAGCTTTTAAAGTGAGATGTATACTTGAACCAAACGGATCTTGGAAAATAAGCGTTCTCGACTGCATTACACCAAGTGGAATTGCGGTATTGATTAGCATTAATAGTATTCACCATTACTGTTATCATTGCTGCTATTGTATTATATGTAATCATAAGTACAAGCCGTATAAAGTATCTGGAAATTCAAGTATGAATTGTTTCTAAGTTTTTTCAATGAGTTTCTAATGGTCGTCTGAACCACTTACCGCATAATGACACCAATTTATTGGCAACCTCAGTTCGATACCTAAAGAAGAATTTATGTTGGCGCGATTATCGAGCCGTTTTCCATTTTGCACCATAGACCGTTTGAAGACCACCTGCTCCTTGGAATTGCATGAGAGCTGTTTTTCACGTGAGAACTTAGTGGCAAATAAGTTGATTTATTGATTAAATAGATTAGTGTGCGTATATTAGCTGCTCTCAAATAACATGTAATGTAATGTCTTTTCAATTGTTGTTTAATTACTCGAATTTTTGTAAGAAGATGCCATGTGGTCGCCGAAAAGAGGTCGAGTTAACAAGACGAATACTCAGTGAAAGGGATGCTAGGAATTTTTTAGGTACCAGTTTGCGACGAAAGGCTAATTGATGGCCGCGTATGGGAATGCAAAAAGACTGATAATGACCATGCTGAGCTTAGACCAAGATCGAACGGCACACCATCATGTGATGGCCACCCATACGGTAAGCAAGTCACTCTTTCACTATTACATGAGAGCCAGAAAAAGTGCAGTTGCATAGTCTTTCGAAATCCCAGAGAACAATTCCGAAGACGAGTTCTGAAAACAGAGCAATGGCTTCAATGTTCTATGCAGAGAAGAGAATCGTGGTGATTTTTCCTCCTGAAGTTGTCGAGTCGCTGATCTCTTGAAGAATCTTTCTTAACAAGTGACGAAGAATCATGTCGTTCTCAGCGCATGTGTCATTTCGCTAGTAACCCAAGCCGAGGAGAGGATTTATTTTCTCTGAAATATGAAAATCCATTTGAAGTCTTCTTCTTTAATAACCTTTCGTAACCAAATAGCCATATTCTTGTCAGTAAAATACTCTTTTTTGACCCTAGTTTACGAATAGCTTTGTTTCCAAATGTATAATCAATTCTTCCTCATTTCCAATGACGAAACTATGATGATGAAACCAATCGAGATTTTTCACTTAGAAGCAGGTTCTCCACCAAGCCTCCCAAGGCGACAAAACTAAAGAGAAGTTGGCAAATTTGTACTCAATTAGGGACCAGTGATCAGTGCGAAGAATGAGTTTAGTTTGAACAGACCCTTCAATTGTGTGAACTTTTTGAAAGCCTATAATATTTGGTGGAACACGCGCTACGTTTGCCGTTCAATGTTAGCGACGTGATGATTTCTTTTTATTGATCCTCAACGATGATGCATAACACGTGATATGGATCAGCTTTAAAAGGACATAGTGTGTTTAAAGTAAATAACAACCATGAGCATTTTTTTCCAATTTTACGCGACGCTTGTTCATATAGGGGTCTTCGCACTTCAGGCATTCGATTCATTTCCACGAGGCTATCGCCAGTGAAGCTCTGTCATGGGTTCGGCTGCTTCTCGAGCATTTTCTTTTTTATTATGAATACGGGTGGTTGCACGTCAAGATGAATCGTTCTGAATTCCAGCGATGAGGACAAAATGGGAATTTCTAATAAAACAGAATCTATAGTAGTCTTCTATGTTGTTCAAATCGAACGCTTCGCCTTGTAGAACGACACTGGCCGTTTTTTGACTGACTGAAGTTCTCATAGAGATAAATGATAACGAAAAGTGGGACATTTTCTGTTTCAGCCTCAGTGTGGAGAGAGGAGACGCTGCAATTTACTTGTGCTAAAGGTGGTGTGAAAGAGTTCATGGGTTGCTTCACATCTGGTATATTTGTTCCTAATGGAGAAATGAAGTCGGTAAGTTACATACAGACGATATGATGACGCCGAGAATGAAATCTGGTGTTTCATCATTTTTCTTACGATAAAAGAAGAGACTTTTCAGGCTTTTACGTTCACTAGTACATATGCTCGTTATAAACATTTCTCTCTAAGGTGGATGGTTCCAACGTCGAGTGCAAGAAACATGAGAACGGTTCCATTACAATGGAGGTTCGAGAAACACCCAATAATACGAAATGCAAGGATAGCGGGGGACGTGAGCGGAAAGAAGGTATCTTTTAATTGTTGTAACTCAGATGGGAAGCTGTCGATTTTTGTCGAGGTCGTTGAATGGCAGTAGGAAGAAGGTATCTCTTAATCATTTCAACTCTGATGGATAACCATAGATTAATAGTCGAGTTCGCTCATTCCCGATGATAATGGTTCTCATCTTTAACATTTATTGGTGTAGGAAACGCTGTGATATTGCGAAAGATATAACTAGTTCTGAAATGAGTTACTGTAACAAGGTGCGAAAAGAACGAAAAGGGAAAAATTTTTTTGGCTCAGGCTCTGAGTGGAAAGAAGGATCGGTGCAGTATAAATGTGGTAAAGAAGGTATGAAGGAGTTGATGGGATGCATTACAACATCTGGAGTGCTCATTCTTGAAGAGGAGGTTAAGTCGGTAAGTTGAATGCAGATGACTTGGTGGCGCTGTGAATAAAATCTGCTCTTTCGTCAACAACGAACTTCTTGGGCTTTTATGTTTGATAATACACATCCCCTTCCTAAATTTTTTTCGTTAAGGTGGATGGTTATGATATCGAGTGTAAGAAGCGTGCAAACGGTTCCATTACAATGCAGGTTCTGGGAAGATCCAAAAAGAAGTGCAAAGACAGCAGCGGACGTGAGTGGGAAGAAGGTATCTCTTAATCATTTCAACTCTGATGGATAACCATAGATTAGTAGTCGAGTTCGTTCATTCCCGATGATAATGGTTCTCATCTTTAACATTTATTGGTGTAGGAAACGCTGTGATATTGCGAAAGATATAACTAGTTCTGAAATGAGTTACTGTAACAAGGTGCGAGAAGAACGAAAAGGGAAAAATTTTTTTGGCTCAGGCTCTGAGTGGGAAGAATATGCGGTGAAGTATAAATGTGGTAACGATGGTAAGAAGGTGTCGATGGGATGCATTACAGCATCTAGAGTGCCCATTCGTGAAGGGGAGGTTAAATCGGTAAGTTGAATGTTGATGTCTTGGTGACGCTGTGAATAAAATCTGGTCTTTCGTCAACAACGAACTTCTTGGGCTTTTATGTTTGATAATACACATCCCCTTCCTAAATTTTTTTCGTTAAGGTGGATGGTTATGATATCGAGTGTAAGAAGCGTGCAAACGGTTCCATTACAATGCAGGTTCTGGGAAGATCCAAAAAGAAGTGCAAAGACAGCAGCGGACGTGAGTGGGAAGAAGGTATCTCTTAATCATTTCAACTCTGATGGATAACCATAGATTAGTAGTCGAGTTCGTTCATTCCCGATGATAATGGTTCTCATCTTTAACATTTATTGGTGTAGGAAACGCTGTGATATTGCGAAAGATATAAATAGTTATGAAATGAGTTACTGTAGCAAGGTGCGAGAAGAACGAAAAGGGAAAAATTTTTTTGGCTCAGGCTCTGAGTGGGAAGAATATGCGGTGAAGTATAAATGTGGTAACGATGGTAAGAAGGTGTCGATGGGATGCATTACAGCATCTAGAGTGCCCATTCGTGAAGGGGAGGTTAAATCGGTAAGTTGAATGTTGATGTCTTGGTGACGCTGTGAATAAAATCTGGTCTTTCGTCAACCACAAACTTCTTGGGCTTTTTATGTTTGACAATACACACCCCCTTCATAAATTTTTCTCGTTAAGGTGGATGGTTATGATCTCGAGTGCAAGAAGTATGCAAATGGTTATACCGCATTGCTGCCTCTTCGAAGGTCCAAAAAGAAGTGCAAAGACAGCAGCGGACGTGAGTGGGAAGAAGGTATCTCTTAATCATTTCAACTCTGATGGATTACCATAGATTAATAGTCGAGTTCGTTCATTCCCGATGATAATGGTTCTCATCTTTAACATTTATTGGTGTAGGAAACGCTGTGATATTGCGAAAGATATAACTAGTTCTGAAATGAGTTACTGTAGCAAGGTGCGAGAAGAACGAAAAGGGAAAAATTTTTTTGGCTCAGGCTCTGAGTGGAAAGAAGGGTCGGTGCAGTATAAATGTGGTAAAGAAGGTATGAAGGAGTTGATGGGATGCATTACGACATCTGGAGTGCTCATTCGTGAAGGAGAGCTTAAATCGGTAAGTTGAATGCAGATGTCTTGGTGGCGCTGTGAATAAAATCTGGTCTTTCGTCAACCACGAACTTCTTGGGCTCTTTATGTTTGATAATACACACCCCTTCATAAATTTTTCTCGTTAAGGTGGATGGTTATCATTTCGAGTGTAAGAGGCGTGCAAACGGTTATACCACAATGCCGGTTCTTGAAAAATACGAGTGCAAAGGTATAAACGGACGTGGGAGGAAATTAGGTATCCTTTGATCGTTTAGGCTGTGATAGACAATCGTAGATTAATAGTCGAAGTGGTTCAATTGCAGCCATAACGGCCTTTATCTTTGACAACTCTATGTGCATATAATGTTGATATTACGAAATATCCAATTAGTACAACCACAATGTTGCTGAGATACTTGCAAAACTCTGGACCGCAGGTGTCTATGGTGGGGAACGAACGCGCTATTATCCTTTCCGGGGAGTAAAGCGTTCACCACCACACCATGCGGGTCCTTTGTTTCGCACGTCTCTCAGCTATTTCTATCGATCTTTTTGCCACAGCAATCACCCGTCAGCGGGGTTGATCTGGGGAGCGCAAATCGGTCCATCGGACCTGCGGTCCAGAGTTTTGCAAATATCTCAGCAACATTGTGGTTGTATTTCGCTTAGTAACCTACCATGAAAATTATAGAAGGCAGAAAACAAAAACGTTATCCAATTAGTTTTGGAATGAACCGATGTACTATCCTGAGGCAGAAACTAGAAAATCAAACGTTTTTTATCAGGTGAAGTATGGAGGGAAACACAACGCGTAGAGGGAGAGTATAGATGTGATAGAGGAGGTGTGAGAACGGTGTTGGGATGCATCACAGGTGGAACATACATTCACGTTAATTATCAGGCGCATGTAAGTTGAATGCACATAATATGATGAAGCTGGAAGTGAAATATGATGTTTTCTCTTTTTTTTAAAACAGAGTAGGAAGCTGCTTCGTCTTTTATGTTTGCCATTGCATGTTTCCGCTATTATTTTGTTTCGTTTAGGTATGGGGTGCTAACCATAAATGCATTAGCGATATATACGGTGCAAAACTAGAGCGTCAATGTAAGTAAAATTAAACATCTATCGTTTGACTGACCATTGTCATGCAATAGGTTCAGTATCAAAATTGGAAATGTTTAACCATAGAATATTCTTCTACTTGTTCCTTTTTCCTTCCTTCCTTGCGCACTTTGCGTGGAGTATTTGTTAAATACGCCGTAGATGCCAGCCTCTATACCTAATTTATGTCTGGCTGGAAAGTGGTTCGGATATTTTCGCATGTCCAGCGCAGTGGCTAGTTTTGCCATCAGTCAGGAATCAAAGGAGCCGTTTTCCTATACTACGCCCTTCTCCAGTCTACGTAGGAACGCATTAGTCTCCGGTATGTCTACTAGATTCCAAGAAGAACAGAATTGTCTGAGACTCCATGTCATTCACAAAGAAAAATAAATTCTAAAATAGCAGCAGAGCAAATATGCACATTGTTCGGAAAGCTCAGCGGACGACGAACCCGAGTAAGACGAATCGAACGCAAAAAGTATGGGCAACCGCACTGCCGACGTAATTACAGATCACGTGAACAAAGTACATGTACCTATTGCGAACTTTTATCTTCCAGATTACCTTGGTCCACGTCCATTATGGCCACCACCAGTATGGAGAAAATGAGAGGCGTGGGAATTGTGCCATAACGATGGAGGTTGTTGCTAAACCGAAATAAAGCTTTTCGTTAGATTGAACATTGTCATGTAACTGGTTCAGTGTCCAAATTGGGAACTTCAGCTATAAAGAATATTTTTTATTTTTTATTCACTTTTCGTGGATTATTTGTCAAATGCTCCGTAAGTGCCAGATCCCGTACCTAATTCGCAGATAACTGGAAAGAGTTCTGAAAAGTTTCCGGATGTCTAGCGCAGGGGCTAGTTTTGCCTTTAGTAATGAAGGAAAGGTGCTGGCTCTTTCCCCAACGCCCTTCTCTAACCTACATGGATGTCTACGCTTGAGCCTGGATGTCTACAAGATTCTAAAAAAATCGACTGTTCGGCATTCTGCGACATTTACAAGAAGAATAATTTCTCAAGTAGGAACTGAAGTGAAATGCGAATTCTTTGAAAACGTTCGGAGACGACCGAAGAAAACGAATCAAAGGCAAGAAATTTGAAGATCCCCGTAGTAGATGCGAGGATGGGACGAGTCCTGTGAAATAATAGAGAGGAAAAATGCAGCATAATGTGATGAAGATTACAAGTGGTTTAGCTCGCTATAAGAGTAGCTTTAAGCAGCAGCGATTGAAACGACAATGTCAGTGATACACAACAGTGGATATTAATGCTCGTGTAAATGCAAAGCTCAACATTTGAATGCCAGATGAAATTAAGCAGTGCGAAAGGGGTAACCACGGCAGTATTAAGGCGAACGGAATGCTAACCATTGACGCTAGCCGTGTTTCAGAAAAGCACGTGAGTTACTGCATGACTTTAGGGTTTCTAGTCAATTTTCACTAAGCCCATGTGTCTGTGTGTGTTTGTGCGTGCGTGCGTGCGTGTGCGTGTGCGTGTGTGGGTGTGTGTGTGTGCCTCCCTATCTATCTGTCTGTCTGTCCGTCTGTCTGTCTGTCTACTTATCTGTCTGTCTGTCTGTCTCTCGATTGTCTATAGCTCTAGTACCTACGACATGCCCACCATGTCTTAATATCTCTCCTGGGTGCCCAACATTGTCCTTTAATTTATCTAGGGAACTATCAACACTGACGTGATGCGTCGCTAAATCACACCCAGGCCTGTTTTCGCCAAGGCATGCATTCAATCACTTTCACGGTGCCTGATAAATACCAACGTAAGAGTTGTTCCTCAGTGCCTTATCAACGGCAGAAGCGTCATCCTTTATCCTTTATGCTCCATAATCGAATGCAATGCGAATTGCAGTAATCCTTCCGCTCGTCTCATTGCCTTGTGTCCATCGTAACGAAGATTTTTGACCCTACTTGTGGGTTCAGCTCCCATTTTAAAGCGGCAGTCTTGTGCTCTTGAGTGATAAACGAGATGGTTTTTCCTTGGAAACCCAGAATAACGCTCGCAGGCTATTTCTAGATTATACCATATTCAATTATTAATCTTCATAGATGGCAGATGCCTGTTTAGATAGGTCCACTGTCAACATCGCGACTTTCGAATGAAACGGGTTTGACTGGGTTACACAGTATCAAACCAGTATTGATGAAATGTAAAGCCCGGATGACCCGACCCGGATAGTGTAGTGGTGAAGTGCGCTGCTCCCCGGTGAGGACAACAGCGCGTGTTCGTTCTCCATTGCATACACCTGTGGTGCGGAGTTTTGCAAATATCTCAGCATTTCATGCGAAATGTAAAGCTTTCGAAATTGAAGTCTTTGGGTGATATTCTATTAATTCGCTCCTATTAAATATTACAATGAATGTATTTGTATAATACATGGTCGCTATGGCAGATCTGGATCAGTCATACATTTCTTATAGGCTTTCATAAAGGACAACATCACGTCGATGGTCTTCCTGCAGTACGTTTGACATCTCTAGGAATCCGTTTACTAACGGCTTCTGTCCATCTGTTGCCGTTCATGCGCATTGTGTTCGCCCCATCTTACCTCCGACTCTTTGGCTTATAGAATGTCATATTTAATTATTCGTCTCTGATGCATGTCGAGGCTTTGGATCCTTTCTTTCACTTGCGCGAAACTGGATGCTCCCAGCATAGTCCCTCCGACTGCTCGTTCAATGACGACGAGTGGCTTTCACCTAACTTACACAGCGACCAGGTCTCTGACGTATATGTTTGGGAAAGAAGCATCGTTCAGTCACAAAGGTGACGCGACGTCAGCCGGCTACTCTTTTTGCTGTTCAGCGTATCCTCAATCTATTGAAAGCTTCTTAAGCCGCTTGTCCCCTTTTGCCCAACACTAGAGCCAATTCGCTCATCATGTAGATTTTTCGATATAGACATAACTGGATCACTTGGAGATACTCGTTCCGTTGAGCGTGAATGGGTCATACGAAACCAATCCGTTCCTCATGAATATCGTTATGTGAAACTTAGTCGAAGATCAATTTTTCCACAAGATTCATCGAACTCGGCAAGCTGGGACATTTCTTAATAACTCAAAAGACAGACTTTCTATAAACCTTGGCATAGATTGTCGATATATTTATTTATATGATCTTATAACCACGGATATCCCTCACATCAAGGATTTCGAGCCGGTTAGTCGCGAGGCTACGTGGCGAGTTCCAAGGTGGAGGATAGGGAGTTAATAGTGGAACAAAAGCGACCGTATGTTTCCCTGAAACGCAGGTGGATCCAGGGGATGAAGGGATAGGCTCCCAGTTTCAGCTTCGCTGATTTGGGACATACTTTCTATATTTGCTACGGACATTAATGCATGCGTATGTGGGTGCGTTCTCGCTTATGCGGATTGTATTCTACGAGTCAATTCCGCCAAGAACCCGCAATCAAGGGACCGGGAAGTATATGGGAGACGGTTAGGAGTCGCCTCCAATAAATAAGCTACATGTCCACTTTGGGAGAGCCTGGCAAGCTACCCGTGAGTATTCCCAGCCACCATGTCCAGAGCCCAGCAAGCTACACGTGGGTATCAAAATGCTAAACACAGTTTTAAAAAAATGGTCTTTATTCTCCTGGCCGCGAAAGAGTTCCCTATTCGGCAGCGTTGGCCAGGATGAGGACGAAAAGGCTGCTAAAATCTCAGAGCCGATGGAAGCCTGCCTGGATCACGAATAATTAAGGTGACGATTTGTATCTACAATGCACGTACAGTTGAATCCGAGTCCTCGATAGAAGACGCTCATGCAAGCAAGAAAGCATGACGTCATCGGCCTGGCGCAGGAAAGACGAAGCCACGCACTGAACGCCGTTTTTGATACCGGAGAACAACTGTTGCTTGGAACATGCGTTAGTAGAGGAGTCGGCGGTCGGCGTTCTCGTAAACACGAGATTGTTCATAAACATCGATTCATTGGAACAGCCTGCATCCTTAATCGGTCGTCTACGATTAAAAAGATGTGGATCAATACCGGCTTTGACAATCTTCGTCGTTTACGCGCCGACATCAAACTATGACAAAGAAGAAGTCGAAGCGTTCTATAGAACTATATGGACTTCGATAAATTCTGCAGAAAAGACCATAAGTTCTTCAAGGTCATCATTAGAGATTTCAACGCCAATAATGGATCACGAAAAGCGCCTGATGAACGTCACATTGGGACCCACGGATTAGAATAAACCGAAAAGGGTGGAACTCGCAATTCCAAAAGCCCCACCATCAGCGCTGAACGTGAGAGTGTGTCAATGGGGTGTACCATAACGAAATAGACCACATCGCATTAAATAGGTTTCGCCTAACCGATGTCTCTACGCTATTGTTCCAGAATTCTACACGAGATCAGACCACCGTTTACACCGTGCAAGATTTCATTTTTCGCGGAAAGGAGAAAAAGCCGTTAAATTCAAAAACCGAAGTCCCAGAACCACCGCAAACTGAAACTTATTCAATTCATTAGTCGGCTGTTGGGAAGACGCCGTTGTCGATAACATCGACGAAGAATACGATCGGCTCATTCAACATCGACGTCTGTCTCCAGAAACACTCGAGCTGATACTTCAGCGTGAAATTGCACAAGCTGCAGGCAACCGCGAACTAACGTCCGAACTTGCAAAACAATGCAAAGAGGCGATGAAAAAAGGTCTTAAAGAGAGAATAGCAACAGTAATGGTCGAAGCTGCAGAACCTGGAGAAACCGTTCGTAAAGTTCACCGAAGCTTCGACAATTACAAGACCAAAATGATTGCACTCCGACGCCCAGAAGGAACAGTTAAAGCGTCCACAAAGGCATTGGAAAAAATCGTTCACGAATACTACTCAGATCTCTTCCATAGCCACATCTACCTTCCGTCGTTTGAAACAAAGAGGATGGATATGCCGTACCACTGGTTCTCCCTTCCGACATTCGACATGCCATTTCGTCGGTGAAACATTGAAGAGCACCAGGTCCGGACAGGATAAGACCAGAACACCTGAA